GGATGACAAGGGGGTCAGTAAGCCTTTGAAGGAGTTTCAGAATGTGTGCAACAGTCTGAATTCCTGCAAGAATGCCTGGGAGAAGGAGCTTGCCAAGGCCCAGGACCTGGCCTGTCGTTTGGAAATCAAAGGTGACCCAAGCTTCCATGCCAAAGGCAAAGGTCTTCAGACTTGGTGTCAAGAGCAGTTGAAAGCCATTGCCAACCTTCGATCCTATGTCGCAGCCAGTGAAGATCTTGCTCCTGAGGACACTTCTCCTGAAAGCCTTTCGAAATCATTGCCTGCTGCCAAAGCATGGCTTGCTTCCAGCCAAGAGAAGCTGCAAGAAGCAAAAGCCAAGGTGAAAACTCACCAGGCATTGCTGTAGGAGCTGTTTGGCCCTTAGATTTTGGAAAGCGCATTTGGTGCAGTTGTCAGGAATGTGGAAATGCAGATAAAAATATCGCAGGGATCTGCTTGGAAGATGCGCAACTGCCGCTGGAAAAAGAGCCTGCTTCTAAGCTGATGTACAAGACTCAAGGAGGTGTAAGATCTCCTTTACTGTTGCCCTGTTTCAAAGCATTGGCCAAATTTAGCATTAACTAAATACAATGTGTAACTTCTTGTCTTCTGAGGTCTTATGAACTTTTATGTTGACATGTTTTTCCAGCTCAAGCCATGTTTCACAAGAGAAAGGTAGATTTGTCTACCCTTAGGGAACCTGACCAGAAGAGGTTTCGACACAATGTTTCCAATTTGTTTTTGACCAAGACTGTCTCTGCTAGAAGAGCCAATGAGCTCATGAAAGATGCACAAATAGCTGGAGCCACTGGTGTGAAAGATTTGGTCAAAGGTGCAGAGAAATCTGGCAGTGGTGAGAAGCAAGCCAATTGGGAAAAGAATTTGGCAAGGGATATGAAAAGAAAAATGTTGAAGAATTGCCTGTGGTTCAATGAATACATTGCATTGATCCCTTGCTACAATCCTGGAACACAAGCAGAAGAGATGAAGAAGATACCTTTTCTTTTGCCACATGAGATTCTTTTTGTCTTCTCGAAGCGCTCTGAGAAGAAAGACTTGCTGCAGACTGGTGGCATGTGTGAACTCAGCAAGAAACATTTGGCGAACATGCAAATGCAGTTCCAAGTTCGAGAAGCCATAGGACTTGGCCTTTGGATCGATGGCACACCTTACAATTATGACAGAAGTCAAACTTTGGAATGCATCTCATTGAATTTTCCTGGCTTACTTCCACCTAATGGTACTTTGCGAATCCCTTTGTGCTGTATTCCAAAGCACTGGTGCATCAAGGGAGTAACTTTGTCGAAGATGTTAGGAATTTTGTCTTGGTCTTTTATTCACTTAGCCAATTGCACTTGGCCTTCAGCAAGGCATGATGGCAGCTTTTGGCACCCAGGCGACAAAAAACGAAGCACATTCAATGGCAAGGCATTGCCTTTCACTGCTTTTTTACTTGAAGTGAGAGGTGATTGGGCCATGAGAAAAGAAGTTTTCCAATTTCCTGGATGGCGAGACAAACAAGGATGCTGCCATTTGTGCTTGTGCAAACCAATTGAAATTCGAAACTTTGAAAGCTGCAAGGCATTTGATCCTTTGGACCATTTCACTTTGTTGCAATCAATTTCCAATTCTGGCATTGACATCAATGAATTGTTTCAAACACCAGGACTGACAAACAAACAATTTCTTTTGGACTGGCTTCACATTGTGGACTTGGGCGTGGCAGCAGATTTTATGGGCAATGTTTTTCACCATTTAATTGCCTCTGGAAAACACTTGCCTGGCAACAATGTCAAAGAAAGGGTGAAAAGCTTGTTCCACAAAATTCAAAGCTACTACAAGACTGAAGGTGTGGAAAACAAGCTTCCTACTTTGACAGTCCTCATGATCAGAAAGAAAGCCAGTTCAAGTCCAAAACTTCGAGCCAAAGCTGCAGAAGCTCGAGGGTTGATTACTTTTGCAAAACAAATCTGCGATGAATTTTTGGATGATGACAATGTGCTTGAATATACAATCAAGATGGCTGCCACAGAACTGTGGCAATGTTATTCTTTCTTGTCCAAGAATCTATGGAATCACCGGTCAATGCTGCTGCATGGCAGAAAGTTTTTGCTGTTGTGCAAGAGCTTGGAAAACGAGACTGACCATACTTGGAAGATCAAACCAAAGCACCACAGCTTCTTAGATTTATTGCTCCAGAACTCTTGTCCATCAGACAGTTGGACATATCGAGACGAAGACTTTGGTGGCTTCCTAGCTCACTTAGGAGCTGTGAAAGGCGGAAGCCACAACCCTTATTCCATAGGCATGAGTGTTCTGCAAAGTTTTCGAGCACAAGTGATTCCAGAGCTGAAGTGAAAAGTTTTGCTGCCAGGATCTGGGATAAGGAGGTTTCAAGTCTCCTGCTGAAGGAGGTGCAAGATCTCCTTGCAATTGAAAATTTAAGGAGGAATTTTAAGGAGGAATTTTTGAAAAATTCCACCTTAATTTAAGGAGGAATTTTAAGGAGGAATTCCTTAAATAAGGAGGAATTCCTTAAATAAGGAGGAATGGAAGTTCTGGGAAGCGCAGACGGCAGCTGTGAAAAAAGAGCAAGAATTAACTGAAAACAGCTGCCAAGATGGCGCCTGTGGCCAAAGCGGGTGCTGCCGAAATGAAGACAGCCGACGCACCTGCAAGTGCTGGCGACCAGGTCGGAAGCGGCGGCGCACAGGATCGCCGTGCTCGCATGTTTAACGAGCTCTTGAAGACGGCCATGGAGACGGCCGCCAATCTAGAACGCTGAGCAGGACTGGTTGCACAGCTGAGCCGCACAGGTGCCTTGCAGAGTCGGCACTAGGATAGGGTGCGAATTCGCCTTGTACAGACTGCTGTGACTCGACTGTTCGGACAGAAAAAACTATGGATACCTTAGCAACTTAGGAAACGCGCCTGTGTTTCCTCATGAAAATAGGAAGGGGCGGGGAAACGCGAGTGTGTTTTCACCCAAATGTAGGGGAAAAAAGGAAACGCACATGTGTTTTTGGTCAACATATTAAAGTAGATACTGGAAACGCGTGTGTATGAGGAATGTGTTTCCACTTGGCACATTGCTTTTGTGAATTTCAGATGTGTTTTCGATTAAACCGGGAAACGCGTATGTATATCCGAGGCAAAACCATTCTTTTTGATGGAAACGCGTATGTGTTTTTGGAACAACAACACCAAAGGTAGGAAACACGCATGTATGAGGAATGTGTTTTTTTGTGTTTCCTATGTTTCACCATTTCCAGTGAGTTTCAGTGTCTCAAAAGCCGGTTTTCCTGTACAGAAAGTGTCCCACGGCCATGGCGACTGTGACACCGGATGTAGCTGCCTTGGCAGAGGAGCAGCCAACGGTTCCGTCGACGATCATGGAAGCGGCTGCGGACGCTGGTGCGGCCGCGTCCGATTCGATTCAGTCGACAGAACCGTCTGCATCTGCAGCAGCAGAAGACAAAAAGGTGATTTGTCGTCGCTGCAATCAGGAGACGGCTGAGGAAGACGCGTTGTGTCAGGAGAAGTTCAGACTGGACCTGCGCTGGACCTGCAAAGCATGTCATGCGCTGTTGACTCAACTGAACCGACACGGAGTCGAACTGAAGACAGTGTTGTCGGAAACTGAGTCTGTGAAGTTCTTCCAGGACTGCAAAGCGGCTCGCATGAATGCTGTGGATAAGCGACTCAGCTACACGCAAGCCCGCGGGGTCTTGAAGCAGTCCATGATTGAGAGCGCAAGTCGTGTCTCGACTGAAGGTGAAGAAGGTGAGTTTCAGCCCTTGAGCTATTGGGAACTCAAGGGGTACAACACTGAAGCGATTGAGGCAAGCGCTGAACAGCGCACACACCCATTGCTGGGTACGACATACAAAGTCGACATCGAGTCGACGAGCACCAAGCGCATCCACTCTGTCACTGAGCAACGCATCCTGCAGATGGAATCTGAGGCCCGTGAAAAGGCGCAGGCTAAGGCGCAGCCAGCTCGCCCTCTGTCAGCGCCAATGGACTTGCCTCCAGCGCTGGATGACTTGCAGCCTGGTAAGAAAAGGAAGACCGCAGAGGAGAAGAAGCAATCGCAGGAAGAAGCCAAGGCTCAGCGCCAAGAGGATAAGAAGCGACAGAAAATGGAGGTGACAGCGTGCGCAGCAGCTGCAAAGTTGCTGCCTCAACTCAAGAAGTGTCACGAGAAGCTGGCTGCCTGCAACGAAAAAGTTGCCGAGCTGAGTTCCGTTGTGGCTCTTCCTGATGCCAGCAAGGAGCAGCTGGCCACTGCTCAGGAAGATCTTGATGCAGCCATGGGCAATTGCAGCAAGCTTCTTGGAGCAACGGCCAAAGGCGGGTCGCTGAATTCCTTCGCGGCGGATGCTTTGCAGAACGATAAGAAACTGATCACTGTGGTCAAGAGTGGGAATGCAGCCATTCGGACTGCGCAGGCATTCATCAAGACGAACAAAGAGAATGCGCCGAAGAAGTCTGCGAAGGCTAAGGCAAAGAAATGATTCTTTGGCCCTGCGGCCTGGCAGCCAAAGCGTGTTTGTGGACACGCTCACATGGCTGACAGTACTATACTTTCAAAGGACATCGCATTTGGCGTAGACTGAAACTGACACGCTTTCGAGGGATTTCCAGTAGCAGTGCATTCCTGCTCTGATGACTCTGGGACTTAGCAATGCTGAAGTGAAGCATTTGACAGCAGTTGCACAATTCTAGAAAAACTGCAATGTGCTTTCAAGTTTGATGCATATAATATATGTGTTATATCGGTACCATTGCTTTGCTAGTCCGTATCGTTTCCATTCCATATAGTTGCTGCTCATGAGGGTATCATTGTTCACTTGTAATAACAAAACCAAAACCTATATCTTCCCAAGCGCCATGACTCTCTTCCGTTAGCGCCATGCATGCCGGAAGATTTTGGTTCCAGAGAACACCATATAGTGAGAATATTCCAGATTGGGGCCGCAATGGTACTTTTATGCGCTATGTCGCTGGCGACAAGCGTGGCTGCCGCGCTGCGGGAATCGGCGAAGACTGAGGCCGAGTTGCACGGTCTCGCTGAAGCCGTTGAAGTCATGAAAGAAATCTTGGCTCAGGTTTCTGTGAATCCAGGCTACAAAGATCACACTGCTGCGGCATCCTTTTGTCATTGCTGCTTGTATACGCTTCGCGCTATACTTTTGGACTGGAGCATCTCAACCACTGCAGTGCAAACGATGCCGCTGGCAAAGATGCCAAAGATCGAAGGCAATGCTGTGTGGCACGTCGAGCATCCCAACTGTCGGATCTTCCTGGCAGAGCAGCATGCGGTTCCTCACCCTTCATTCGAAGGCATTCGAAGGCGAGCCATGGGTATGGTTTGTGGATTTCTTAGAGACGTTGGAATATCACTTGGCTGTTTGACGCAAAGGATACGAGGAAGCAAACGACGCAAAAGTGTTCTGCCATGACCGGATCTGCTGCTGCACCGTGGATTCGTTTGATGAATGTGGAGGGCAGCGGTGGATCATGTTGATCAGTGTCTGACTGTGATAAAACAAGATGTTGCCCTTATGCTTGCACCTTTCGTTCTTCATTCATGCAACGTATGTTGAACTTTTTGTTTTTTGGTTATACTTATAGCTCCTGAAAAACTTATATATTTAATATAGCGCAAAGAATCAAATGAATGTAACACCTCCAACCCCATATATATGATAACCCGTACATATAATACAAACTCAGATATTGAATCGTGATAGACATCAAAATATCAATTGTTATAATAATTCATTTGTATCCGCAGGCATCCCCAACACAAATGACAACTCGAACATGTCCAATGGGAGTCGCAACGATGCCATGGATCGAACCGGCTTGCGGCAGGCCTTGGCCCGCTATAGTGAGACAAGCATTTTCGCAGTGAGAAAGTTGCTGTCTGGGGAAAATCCCTCTGCACGCAGTGGCAGCTTCAAACGTGCCGCAGCGGAAGTGCTTGGACCATATCGCCAGTGCTATCAGCCAGTCAATGTGCCGAATGTCGAAGCTGACCGGCCGGATGTGACATTCCTACATGGCTGATTTGAAAAAAAATCTTTGTCTGCTTGCGCAGCGCTGCGAGTCCTTCTTGCAACTTCTGCGACAGCCGGGTCCGCCGGAAGTGCGGCTTGAAGCATTTCTGGCGCACGATGAGTGCACAGCTGGCAACGTTCTGAACCCGTTGCAAACGCAAAAAACATTGCTGTTCTATTGCACCTTTTCCCTTTTGCAAGACACCTTTGTGAGCAGCCGAAGCTGGATTCCGGTGGCAGCCATTCCACACTGTGATCTAACTTCTTGCCGTGGTGGCATTGGTGCTGCAACTGCAACGTTTTTGCGCCGCTGGGATCAAGATGGGCTCGATGTTCCTTTTGATGTTGCGCCTGGAGTGCGCGCATCAGTCCACCTGCAAGGATTTGTGAGCGACGGAGACAGTCAAAGGGCTGCATTTTCTGCTAAAGGATCTGCAGGCCTGAAGCCGTGTACCTTTTGTGCCAATGTTCTGAAACGTGGCTGCGCCGCAGCTGAACGGGATCCAAACTTTGTGACCATAAGTGAACATAACTTGGCTAAATTTCAGTTGTATGATGCGCGGGAATTGGAAGCGGCCATTGTGGCCTGGCTAGCTCGCAAGCCCGCCATGACGAAGCATGAAATTGATCTCAGGGAACGATGTTTAGGTTTCCGGCTGGACGCAGACGGAATCTGGGGCTGCGGCACCGCAAGAAGGAAGCTGACCATCGACATGGCCCTGAATGACTCCATGCATTGCTATTTTAGCACTGGCATCGTCAACACGGAACTTGTCTTGTTCCTTGGACAAGCATGGAAAGTGGCAAAAATCAAAACAGATGATCTTCTGGAAACGATGAAAGCTGCAGCTTGGCGCAGACCAGGGAAACCGTCTGCAGTCTCTGAACTGAAACGCTTATTTGGTCATCAACTCTTTGGGGAGGAAATATACAAAGGATCAGCTGAACAAACCAAATCGATTTTGCCGCTTCTCCGATGGATTGCAGAAGCATGGCTACAACGCATGCCATCCATGAAAGAGTCTGCAGAATGCTTTCTGGCTCTTTGCCGCTGCACAGACCAATTGCAGCTGTGCAATGCAGAGACTCGGTGGTCAACACTGGAACAAGCCCAGTGCCACCATCAAAGACTGTTTTCGGCATTGTATCCAGACTCGGTACGTCCAAAACACCACCATAGGCTTCACCTGAGCCAGCAATATGAAAAACTCAAGATGCAAATATCGTGCTGGGGCGTCGAAGCAGCGCACCAATCCTACAAGAAATGCTTCGCCGACAATTTCGATCATCTCCTGCAGCCTGGAACAGAAGGCATGTACAGTCGACATATCATGCCGCGTTTGCTGCTACGATACATGGAAATGTGCAATGAAACGCCCTTCCTAACGAATGGGTTCAAGTTGCTATCTCCATTCGATGAAGCTGCTGTCGAATCCGCTACGGGAATCAAAGATGCTTCCATCAGTGCCAAATGCCGGACCCACGTCATGGAAATAAAAGAGAATGATGTGTTGCTATGGGGAAAAGAACGGGACCAAGGAGGCATCATTCGTTTCTTCCTCGTGCGTAACAACAAGTTATTCTTGTATGCGACTCCCCTGGAGTTGCGAGACAAGACAGAAGCAACAAGAACGTTTTCCTCCAAGGATGCAAATCAATTCTACCAATGGGTCTTGCTACCGGAACCATGTCACCCGACGTGGCAAAGCTGTAACGAAAACACCATCGTCGTCTTACCGTGACAAAAAAAGCCTCCTTAGAAGGGTCTCACAAGTGGTTTTAACTGGATATCCATGATTCCTTGTCAATTTTCACACTCACCTCAAAATCAAAAAAATAACCCACTAAAAAGATACGGAACTTATAAATTAACTTATAATATACCCTAAAATAAGTTATCATAACTTCAACATAACTTCCATAACTCAAATTATAACTTCATAACTTCATGTTAACTTAGGGGCCCCATTTACACAATTTTCAAACATGTTTCATGAACATATGCTACAAAACAACTACTTTTTTGCCGAGCGAAGGTGCGATCTCCGACTGTTTCCAACCGTTTCCCCTTGGACACCTTTGGACCTTCAAAAAAAAACGGCGTTGCGCGGAAATGCTTATTTAAAAAAAAATGCGGGTTGAACAAGTTTTGGCCTGATCATGTTTCCGACCGTTTCCGACCGTTTCCGACTGTTTCCGACCGTTTCCGACCGTTTCATTTTTTCTGAACGATTAATTGGACCACTTCCATTTATGGAAGGCTGATCCAGTGCAAACCCGTGCAAACCATGACGCTTAAGTTTTTTGGTGCCACCCTTGTGCGCGTACACTGCACCAAATATTGCATCTTGACCTTGATATCCAATAATCCCTAAAAATCACAAAATCCCAGGAGCTCGTGAAATTTAATATATTATATACTATATATTATATTTTATATATTATATATTATATATTATAGACTATATATTATATTTTATATATTATATTTTATATATTATATTATATTTTATTATCATATATTATATTATATTATGTTCTATCATATTATATCATATATATATATTATGGAATTATATGGATATATAGCAACATGATATTTAATCCCATCCCCTAAAACATGTGAAACACACCCAGTAAACCCCTAGTTTGCTACAGGATCGGATCATCCGGTCTACTCATGTTGAGCAGCGATCTTCTAAGTGTTTATGCCAGGGGGATTGTTTTTTTTCCGATTACAAATGCAAATGGACAGTATTTTTTAAGAACATGGTCAATGGTCATTTCAGGAACCCAAAATGGGTAGTCAATGGTCATTTCAGGAACCCAAAATGGAGGTTCTGTACCATATAAGGCCATATTTTGTGGGTATATTCCCTTACATAGGCCTTATATAAGGTAGGTACCTCCAATTTAGGGTCCTGAAATTCCCATTGACATAGTATACGATGGCAAATGGTATACGGTATGCACCAAACATCACCAAACAATGCAAAAAAAGAAACCTGGTTTGAATCACGATGCAGCATTTCAGGAAATGGCTATTCCCAAGGAAACTGGATGATTTCGATAGCAACAACCCATGGCATGCTTCAAAAGACACAGAGTTTCATTTTTTGCGTGGCTCAAGATGCCAAAATCCAGCAGGTGTGGCTGAACGCGATCAAATCCCCATATTTTCTGTTGAATGCATGGTTCCTCACCATGTTTTTACATATATCCGATGCATTTTGATCAAAATCCATCAAAATCCCCTCACCCTGCCACTTTTCATCACCTTTCCACATGACCCGTGAAGGTCCTCCAAACTTCCTTGGAGATGCGTCGATCCACTTGAAAGACACAGGCGCGGATTCCCTCCTGTCTTTGCGTGGCGATGTTTCCGAGGATGGGAATTCTGTTCAAAAAATGGTGGAAGTTCAGCAATATCTGCAGTTCTGATACACTGGCACCATATGGACTTCAGTAACAAACATCTGTTTTTCGGATATATATATATATATGTATATATATATATATATCATTATAAATATTTATAAATTGTAAATTAGTTAATTTCCCTCACCTATGGTTTCCCTATGATTTCCCTATGGTGTCCCTACGATTTCAGCAGTACCAACCTCAACCAACGATCCCAGCCTGCGGCAACTCTTGCATGGGAGCATTGCTCAACTCCTGCGGATTTCTTCTGGCGGAGAAGTCCAAAAAATCTCGAAGAACTCCGTTCCCAAGCCCAACTAATTGTGAACATTAATGGTGGTTTAATGGGATTTAACCAACAAAAAATGTGATTTAACATTGTTGGTTAATAGCTATTGTTGATTTAACATTAGCTATGTTTAATGGTGGTTTAATGGTGATTTAAATGGGATTTACCATCTGATGATTTGTTACATAGCTATGGTTAAAATGGATGAAGCCATGGCCCATAGATGATAAACCAGTGATGATTTACCGAACGTAAAAAATGTGATGTTTCCCAGTTCGCTACGTTAAATAAAAAACAGGGTATCACTGGAACATAATGATACTAATAAGCAAATAGTTGCATATATATATATATATATAGATTCCTCTTTATGGCCAAACCATGAACCAAGTTGGTTCAGTGGTGCAATGTTTTCATCCAAAGAAATGGACCGCAAAGATCTTGGACTCTTCTTGGCTGCGCACCCTTCTCTTTTTCCAGGAGGCAGCAAGCTCCGACACAGCAAGCACCCCAAGGCCTGCGAAATCCCTACGGAAATGACTTGCACTAGACGAATTGACGACTCGAAAGATCGCAAATTGAAATACACTGAAAGCTGGACAAGGAATGCTGTGCCCAGTCCTATAGTACTAGTTCACCACATTTCACCACATTTCACCACATTTCACCACATTCCCACATGAATTGATAGCAAGAGACTAAGCTGGTTTGGAATCTCCAGCTAGCAACCGGAGCGGCCAGGACTTATGTCGCCAACGTTGGAATCAATGAGACAGTTGACCTCCAAAACATCCTCATACATATTCTCATACATGGCCTGGAAGCATCGCAACACCAGAAGGTGGTGGTTGTTTCGACAATAGAGGCCTCGCTTTCCGTCCGGCCTCATATCAAGGAAAACATCAAGAGGATAAAGTTCTCTGACAGAACTTCGTCCTTGCATCAGCTCATTCAAATCAAACATGGAATTCCTACCGAAGCTTACCTTCTCCTTGCTGAAGTGTAAGGCCCGCACTGGCACGAGAACTGGTTCCTTTGAAGCTTCCATCAATGGAAGCGTTTCGCAAAATCTCATGACCCGCTGCACCAAGAGAGTCTCCTCAGGACGGGACCAAATCCACTGCCGACCTGAAGCTGACTGCCAAACAATCTGCTCGCGCGTGCTTTGGTGTAGCAACATGGCCTTTTCGCACATCCACCGGCCATGACTATCAAGCCTCAGAGGGATGTTGTGGATCCGCCTGCCGTTCCTCTCGAAGCACAGCACAAATGAATCCACCTGTTTCCCAACAGTCACAATCATAAGGCCCTGGTCCTGATCCACCCACTTGCCCAGAAAGGATGTCTCCACAACGGCACGCACCATGCACATCATCTTGATCGCCACATTGGGATGCACAGCTTGAACACAACGAAGCAACAGAAGTCGCCGGTGATCTGGACACAGCAAGGCATGCCTACCATCCACACAACGATGAAGGATGGCATCCACTGGCGGCAGTTTCCTCACTGCAGCTGGATCAAGTAGAATCTTCTGCAGCAGCCCCTCGTCGATGGAAGGTTTGCTGTTTGGGAAACTATTCAAGGCCCATAGTGGCACCGACTGAGGCTCGTTCAGTTGTAGCAATGGCACATTTTCATCACAAAACCGTACGGCTTGCGGCACAAAGGCTGCCTGTTGCTTAGAATTTGCCTGGGTTGCCTGATGCTCAGAAGCTGCCTGTTGCTTAAAGCCTGCCTCCTGTTGCTTCTCGTCTGCCTGATGCGTAGAGTCTGCCTGTTGCTTGGAGGTTGCAGGTGGCGTCTCTTCGCGTTTAGCCTCGGGCTTCAATGCTCGCTGTGTGCGCTTCCATGTCCAGCATCTGGTATCAATCTCTGACCGCCAGCGAATCTGGTCATAATTGTTCAAAGCATATCCGACTTGAAATATGCCATCACCACATTTCCACCTTCCCCACTCATCGATCACAATTGGCATATCCCTCATACATTTGTCCCCATGTTTCCAAAAAGTCGCCCAAAGAGATTTCTCATCTTGGACAACTTCCACACTTCTGCCTTGGTTATCCACCCACTCACCCAGAAAGAAATTCGAGGACGGCCAAGCAGCTTCCATGGCAGACGTGCCAGGTGTGACGGGTGACAGGTGTACTGAAACTTACGTAAGCTTCTGTTAGTTCTGACTGAATCATCCGAGTTGCGCAATAAACATGCCAAATACAACCAAATATGCCCTCGGAAGTGTAGATTGAGTAAATAATTGTGTGAATAGGGCAGTGCAACAAATGTCTTTTTTGTTTATATATATAATGTAATATAATGTAATTGTTAAAGCTAAACAGCTAAACATGTCAAGCGCTGTGGAACTGCGATGCATTGAACCCAGGCACATGCTGCCGCGGCGATCGAAAATCACATCACCCAGGATCACCCCATGGAACTACGAGACGTTTCAACGGCTTCAACCCTGGCTGATCATAGCTCATCATTTTCCACAATGAAAAAGGCAATTTTTGAGGGTAGCGCACTATTCTTTCTAACACACCCGAGCCAACACATGTCTTGGTGATATATCATGATATATCCAAGTATATCATATCCCATAGAATATATCCGTTTTAATTAATTCTATTCCCCTATTAAATCTCCAATAAAATAATATAAAATATCCCCATATTGTTCGTATCAAATCCCTATAAAATGGTTGGTATGTTTTTTGTTTTCCCATGACATGCCAAAGGCAAGACGGGACTCCTGCAGGAGCACGCTGCTCTGTGAGGCAACGACCACACGATGCGCCAAGAACCTGCCGAGTTTCTCATGGCCCGTGGCTAATCTGAGGTATAGAGCCTGCAAACATGATTCTAAGCTACTTGGGAGAACCTTAGTCCATATGACATATATATCCCCGTTTCCTACGGCAATCATGGTTTGTGTTCATTGATAAATGGGTTGATTTCAAGGAAACATCACAGGAATGTAGTGGGCTTGTACCTCCTAACATCCTGGAAATCAGTTTCGGGATTGCTGTAAATTGTACATCATAAAAGTACAGTGTACAGGATCAAATATCCATAGAACATGCGTATGAGTCAGTGATATAAAAAAAACAATATAGATGGTTTGAAACCCAAAAAGATAACCAACCTTGATTACTAACCGGCAAATATATTGAAGTGTTCAAATACTGTACCCAGCCTTTTGGATTGCAAATTCTTTGGCGATTCTTCGTGGTTTTGTCTGGATTTTGTAACTTGACCAATAAGAACAAGGATACAACATGATATATGAGCTATGACATGGTATAATTTTGTAATTTTACTCATTTTACCCATGATATAACCGCCAGGTATTCTGAATCTAATGAGCTACAGTTGTGCATAGTTGTGCACAAAACTCAGTTTTTCCGACCACCAGAGTGGCTGGGGGTTTGACCCAGGCATGATGGATTTCATTGGAATTCAATCATGTGCGACCTGGGATCTGTATATAAATGACAATATTGATGAGAACATGATGATCAAACAGTGGATGGAATGGATGCGCTATTTTCAGAGAAAAACAAAAACATTTAAGAATCAAGCCGATACGAATTAATCTATATGCCACTTGACCCATGCTCAACACCAAACCTACCATTTGGATTTCTATTGATTTTGTTTCCATTGCAATGGATCTTAAAATGTTGCTGGTCAATGAGATATTCACAATAAACCAATGATAAGAACAAATTACATATATAAAATTTGAATATCATTGGTTTATTGTAGACTATTACCATCCCCATGATATTAGAATATAATAAATATGAATATTACCAATGGGGATGGTTTATTATTACTTGACTAATATTACTGTAGATAGTAGATATCCCGTTCGATCCCAAAATTTGAGGCAAACCGACCACCGACCCCACCTGGAGAATGAATCGATACCTGTGGTGCTCACATCGAAGGCCACATCTGCGAAAGGCACACGGCCTGTGACAGAAAGATGTGTACTGTAGTCTTTCCAACTGGCAAATGGTGATTTAACCAACAAACAATACGGAATTCATGGGATTTATACATGATTTATGATAGCTAAGTTGACTTATAACTTGATTAACTATGGTTTTCTTGGGAACATCTACAAGAAGCCATAGTTTTGTTCCAATGAAATAAATGGGTTTCCTGTACATTTTCCCCCAAACCAATGCATTCAGTTGTTAGTCAAGTAAAGCAACGATCACAACGATATCCTACAGAGGCAATTGAAACATACCTTTGAAACATACCAACAAAAATCAACTCCCTCTGCCTCATCGATGTGGAAATCCGATAAACCATCCTTCTTTGTACCAACGTAGCGACTGACAAACCAAAGGTTAAAGCTTTGTACAGCTAGGATGCCTGGGGCAATACGATAAGCGACGATGTCAAATTCGTCTTTAACGATCGATGACAATGGTTTGGCTGTTGGCAATGCCATATTAGCCTCTTGAGGTCTCCGCAGCGGGAAAACGACCCGAGCTGGACATAGCTGGACCCCCTTTTTGTGTCCACGACCGGTGGATGGCACCAATTGTGCTGCCTGATCATGGTCCATGTAGGCGAAGCAAATGCTGATAGTGGCTGTCAGGTTAACGATGTTACAGGCCTTCAACTGTTCAACTCTCTGGATTTCAAAAATCACTTCAGCCATTGAAAACGGAAGGCTGTTGGCCTGTTACCTTTCCTCGAAGAATCTTAGCTAAACACTGCAAAACAATCATCATAAACCACCCGTATGTTGATGGTGAATTTGGGGGATGGTTAATTTAATTGTTTTTTTCATGAACATTACCAAATACCATCCAAAACAAAACCCCAGTTGTTACATGTTGTTACTGGATTTCTTCTCAAGTTGGGTGTCACAAATCATTTAACTAATATTATGTCAATTTAGTGAAACCAGGTTGAAACACCATGTTTGATGGTTAAACCCAATTTAGTGTTATGATCGGAAGGTGGGATCACTTCATAAAAGTCCTTCATACCTTGGATCTTTCCGTCGTGACCTCATTGGAACATCAGTCCAGGTTGGATCTGCACTTGTGGAAGACCCGTTCCAAGCCGAAGACAACATGGATAGGTCAAATCCCATCAATCCATATTATTATACACTTATGAATTACAGTACATGTGTATGTGACTGGAAAGCGTGAGAGCACTCTTTAACATCTACCTAGACCCTCCAAAATTCCACAAAAAATACAAAAACAATAAGATTGAGGGGTAAAACACCATTGGCAAGGGTACTTGGAAGGGCTAGGCATATCTACAACCTCTATTTATATCTCTATCTTTCCAGTAACCCCAAAAAAACACCAGAGTTCCTGCCTGATGCATCTGGGCCTGGGTGCGATTTGTGCCATATATGTATGTATGTATGTATGTATGTAGGTAGGTAGGTATGTACGTACGTACGTACGTATGTATTTATGTATGTATGTATGTATGTATGTACAGTATGTATTTGTGTATGTATGTATGTATGCATGCATGCATGCATGCATGTATGCATGTATGCATGTATGCATGTATGCATGTATGTGCCTACGGGTTGAAAACCGTCCGAGCGTTTTAGGCATTTTTATATATGTTCCTTGGGGTGGGGTGCGGTGGGGTGGGGTGGGGCAATAACGTTCACGTACTTGCGCACTCTCATGATGTTACGCCACGGCACGTTCACTTGCACATGCCACATACGTCATGCTACGTTGAAGATGCGTCACGTCACGCAGGGGTGGGGTGGGGTGGGGCAATAACGTTCACGTACTTGCGCACTCCCATGATGTTACGCCACGGCACGTTCACTTGCACGTGCGCGCATTACGTCATGCTACGTTGAAGATGCGTCACGTCACGCAGGGGTGGGGTGGGGCAATAACGTTCACGTACTTGCGCGCTCCCATGATTTTACGCCACGGCACGTTCACTTCCACGTGCGCACATACGTCATGATGTGTCACGTCACGCAGGGGTGGCTAGTTGAGGCTTGGTCCTGTCTGGTACATGAACTTCGTGGAACTTCGGGCTGCGCAGGGTGGCATCCAGCCGGTACAAAAAAAAGTGGTTTTCAAGCTTTTGCGCGTACATGCTCATCAGCCGTACTTTGAACTTGAGATTTCAGGCTTTTGCGTTCAAACCCTCATCAGTGCATTCTCGCACATCCTCACCAGCACCGTGGACTTGATGAGTTCACGCATTCGCGCTCAAGTTCTCATTAAAACGCTTTGGCAAATCCCCGGCAATATTTTGGGCTTAAGATTTCAAGCATTTGCGCGCGCGTCCTCATCAGCAGCACTTTAGACAAGTGTTTTGAAGCCCAAGTCAACCGCTTGACCACCAAGTCGTTCTTTCTCCGTTCAAATTTGGACTTTGCGGCCGATGCGCTTTCAAACCTAGAATTGAAGCTGCCTGAGCGAACTTAAAAAATGAAACAGGCAAGAACGATGGCAAGCAGCCGACGAATGAGAGCAAAGTCACATATAGGATCCGACAGAACGTTGCAAATACCTCTTGTTCAGGGCAAATGCGTCCAAAATGATTGAAAGCTTCCAGGATGCGTCAGGAAACGGGTGGAATCAGAAAAATGAACATGAAAACGGAAAAAAACACCAAAAAAACATGAAAATACAAAATGTATAGCAAAAATTATGGAAAACAAGCTAAATTGCCCAAACCACACACCTGAACTTCGTGGAACTTCGTGGAACTTCGTGGGGGCCTCAAAATCTATGAAAATCTGCTAAAAATACTTGGTTTATCTTGGTTTTTTGGTCCTAGAACTTCGTGGAACTTCGTGGAACTTCGTGGGACTTCGTGCAAACGCACGTTTCCCTTAATTTTTCATGTTTTGGGTGTTTTTTGTCAAATCGCAGCTTGATTCACTGAAATTCATTGTGTGGATGTGCGTTTTTGTTGATTTTCCTACCTCTGAACTATCTTTGCCAAATTGGAGCTTGATTCGTTGGAATCCAACGTGAAAACATGTATTCCCAATTGTTTTAAATAATTTTCATATTTTTTAGCGATTTCGAGCACATTGGAAACTGATTCAATTGACTTCGCTGCAAAAACACATTTTCAGTGATTTCCAAACCATTTTACCAATGTTTAATTTAATCGGAGCCTGATTCACGAAATTATATTTGATCCGTGCACAAAGTCAGCCCTCGAGGCACCATCGCAGCAAAATTTGAAAAGACACATATTCCTAGGATTACAGAAGGGCAGGTTGCCACATGAAGACCACAAATCAATGTTTCAAACCATGATTTTCCGATTATCGGACAAATGAAGGGGAAGGCATGCACAACAAGACAACAAGGCTCCTGCATTAGGAACTGCAGTGCCATGCTTACTTCCTGAATAAAGCAGCGGCGCAATGTCCTCCCCACATATTCACCTTTCCCTCTCCGCGAAAAATTTCTGTGGGAGGACGACTTTCCTTTCCCGCGATGTCACTATGGATACTGTCAAGGCATCTGTGTGCCTGTGTGCATCAGTTCGTCAACAATGTGGCCTGCAAGAACAGAAATCAGCACCGAGACTGCTCACCACCGCCCTCACATGTGTGATTGCGATGGCGCCCACATCATGCACACAAAGCTGTCACAGCCACAAAATTACCACAAACCAAGGCGACAACGCAGCAAAAGAACCCAATCAGTTCAAGTGATCCAACCGAGCCCTGTGGCCCAGCAGGGCTGCGCGCAAGGACCGGGCCTCAACTTACCACGCAGGGGTGGGGTGGGGTGGGGTGGGGTGGGGAAATAACGTTCACGTACTTGCTCAGATGGCGCAAAGTGCTACCCTGGATTGACATCGGCTAACAAGCTGATACATTTTGCCTGCTCACATCGCAAAAACAAATTTGTGAAAAAGATCCGCAGACATGCTGGAAAAACCTTCTGGGTTCATACTGGCACCATCGAATCGTGCTGGCGTATGATCAAAGCCAGTGTTCCCGATCGGTTGACATCTTGCCCAGAAAACGAACAAAAATTGAATGACCTCATTTGGACGTACGTTCGCACATGGCAGTGGCGATGGGAGGCAAATGTTGGAAAAGCCCTGTTGGAGAAAACAGGTGCGTACTTAGCGAAGATGTAGAGATCACCGGAAAAAATGGCTGCCGCTGAGGTTTTGGGCACGCTGACTTCCCAAAAGGAACCTTTTTCGCACTCCGACATGTCAACTATATACAGTAAATCCCAATGAAAATTCAAAATCACAATAGAATTGACCTTCATGGACAACATAAAAACATGAAAAAACACTGCGAAACGCATGATTGACTTCTTGCCAGTCACATGAAAATGCTGTTTTTACTCGGCCCATTTCCAACCCGGCGGGATGTATGTATACATATATATATATATATCTGTATACATATATATATATATGTATGTATGTATTTATGTATTTTTGTATGCATGTATTTATGTAATTATGCATGCATGCATGCATGCATGCATGCATACATACATACATACATGTGTATATATATATATATAAATATAATATGATACATGATATATTATGTTTTAAGATGCATATGAATCATTGATATCATAAAAAGAAACAACCGATTGCTGTCTATTTTTTTTGCAGTTGGTATCTGCTACTGGTCATGTGGCCTCAACAACACGTCGAGACATCGTCATCGTCGTCATCATCATCATAATCGTTTATATCGTGTATCATCTATATCATCTTATATCACAAGAATCCTCCATAGCATATATATATATATATCAGTCACAGATCTAAATATCATTATATATCTATATCACAAATCTATATTATCTATGATCAACTAATTCATCTATTATCATCTATCATCTAGTTGCTATCCACCATAAACTCAACACTTTGCCTTGTTGGCACCTTAACTTAACTTGCCTCAGCTTAACTTGTGAGAGGAATTGGGGACAATCTCCCGATTGTAGGTCTTGCCAGTTCTGAACATGGGGCTCTCCATGGAAACGAGTAAAATGTCCACTTTGGGGTATATACATCATCCATTTTAATAGGATTTTCCAGTATAAACCATCCAGCTATTGGGGCATCCCGGTCTCCCCATTTTCAGACATAACCATATTGACTTTAGAAATCGGATCGTTCTTGATTCTGATAGGAAAAAAAACATACCTTACATCTAGAACGCTTGGCACTACATGACACTAATGTCGTTGTCTGGACGTCTTCACGAAGGTGGCCAGGAGCACGGGATCGTTGCTGGCTATCCCTCATAGTTCAAAGGTTTTTGACTGGTTGGTGGCTTCAACCTCTCTGAAAAATATCAGTCAGTTGGGATATGTTGGGATTATGAAATTCCCACTATGATGGGAAAAATAAAAGTCATGTTCCAAACCACCGACCAGTTGACATAGCTAACCTTGGATACCCCACAGCCAAGTGGGTGAGTTTTCAGTGGGCATATTCCTATAGATTCCTCCATGAGGGCTGATGGGTCCTGAATTTCTGGAAGCAAGGAAAGCTGCCCCAGACTCAAATGACTGAAATTCATTTAACATCATGCAACATCATTCAACCAACAAAAACATGACATGGATCAATCAATGGATTGGTTTTGGTTGAATCTTAACCGGAAACCATCATGTATTTACCACCAAATATGGGGCTTTCCTGTAGATTTTCCCTTCATCCAATCCAATGAATCCTAATACATTCTATAAATGGAGGTAGTTCAGTACTTATAACATCTGGTTATTTAACATAGCCATGGAAAATCACCATTTTGTAATAGGTAAACCATCTATAAATGGGCCAGTTTCCATGGCTATGTGAAATAACCAAAGGGTAACTGGCATTTCGGGCCATAACTGTACGGATCAATGATTCACCAGCCATACCCCCTCTGGGTGCTCAGCTTAACAGCGCTGACACAGCGACGTGCTCCGGGATGCGTTCGGCAGCACTGAAGCCTGGAGTATTGCTGGAAGGAACTTGTGTCTAATCAACAATGCCATTGGACTATGATGAAGAGTTGATTATATATACATATATATCTACATTATCAACAGTACAATAAGATCAGCATTACGATCAACAATGCTTGGACATAATTAAATGGATTGGTTTTAAGGGAAAATTGACAGGACAACCCCATATTTACGGTAATGACAAATCTATGGTTTCCTGCAGATGTTCCCTTAAACCAATCCATTTAGGGGTTGCTTATACACAACATCTGGATAATTGCAGATATATGATGATATATCAACATGATCAACAATCCAATCAACAATATGATAATATACATAGGCATGTTGGTGGACATTATAAGCTTAGACATTGGATATGATTGCCCATGCCCCTGAAGTTCAAACACATGAGGTTATTAGATATGACTGACGTTGATGTTAAAGGAACATTTGGGTACAGGACAACAAAATGGTACCAATGGGCCCACACAAGGGCCATATATTGATTGAATCCATGAAACAAAATGGGCTGCTTGAATCACCATTACCATGGAGAACAAATCAATGTGTGAGAACATATATTCATCATGTGTTATATATATATATATATGTATACACTGTTGATTGGAATGATGTGATATGATATAATATAATATAATATGATATGATATGATATGATATGTATGTCTGCATGTCTGCATGTCTCTCCACCAATTCTGGGGAAAGCACATGGTAAGGCAAAAACGGCAAGGAAAAATGGGCGACCAAGCCGGCAAAGTCAGCGAAACAGAAGCCAGCAGGGCAACGCGATTGGAATGCAAAGTGCCCAACTGCCGTGGCGAAAGTGCTGTCGACTCGCTTGCCTGCGAAAAACATTCCTGCCCTTCGGCAGGGAAGGCGCAGTTTATTAAGGCAGCAGCGTTGTCCACGCTGGTGTCGATGATCTGCTGTGTCGTGCGGCCCCCGTACAAGGTGTGATCATTGACGGGGTTCACAAAAGGTGAGTCCACCACCGCCTCTGCAATGATTCTGGGTGGTTTCTTGTCCACCATGAGTAGGTCCATTGGGTCAATCGTCGCCTCTGAATACAACGTGTTCGGACCCTGGATGAGAATCACAGCGCTCTCAGCCAGTGTAGGAACGATGTCCTTCAACCATGCAATCGGTCTGTTACTTTCGTCCGACATTGCTGTTTCGAGGATGGCATTCTTGAGATCGCCGTTGCCCTGCAATCCTGCCAGATAGCCGGTATTCTGGAAGCCAGGTCTGCATGTCTGCATGTCTGTATCTCTGTATCTCTGTATGTCTTTATGTCTGTATGTCTGTATCTCTGTATGTCTGCATTTCTG